TGCCGGCCATCATTGGGGCACAGCTTTTGAGTAGGTTGGTTAAGCAGGGCCAGCTGATGCTACTCATCTACACTACTTTGAATTTCCACTCCAATGGGCGATGGGATCCCTAACATTAAGGAGGTCATATTCATTTGCATGGGAAAAACTTCGGGATTCTGAATTTCTGCATTTCCATTCAAGAACAACGCATGCAGGTATGTGGAGTGCTGGCGAAGGCCACGAAACAATAAACCCAACAATAAAGCTTCCATTGGAGCATTTTTGTTCCTCAGCAATCAGACCATAATTTCCTCTTCAGGATCTACCCACTTTTCTCCTTGGGAATCTCGGATCAATTCGAAAGGACTTACTCGACCACTTGAAGATATCACAGTATGGGCAGAGATACCGTAGACCGTCCATGCTCTCTTTGTCCAACATCTTATTGCCATCCACTGTAACAACTCTTGGCCCGAAAACATTTCTGTCGAACTGATAGCGTCTCAAAATACGGAACCGTTCCAATCGTGGATTATTTCTTATTACGAGTCCTGAAATCAGGGCCTTTTGCGATAGAACAATGCTAATCATACCCTCATAGTAAGCTTAGGGTAGTTGTTCTCATAAACAGAGCTTAATTAGCTTCTGCTCAACTGTCTATCGACTTTTCTTTGTGAGTCCTCCTCATTGGAGCATTTAGGTAGAGAATAGATAGTGTAGTCGGTCACCTTTACACCGACCGAATTGATCGCTTACTTATCACTATTTTACTCTTCCACTCTCAAATTATGTGTTAACACTCAAAAGGGTTAGTAATGAAATTAACTACTCACATCGGGTCGCTTCCAATGACCCACCGCTCCACCAGCTCCGTCTTGGAATATGTAGCATACAAGATAGTCGTTACAACAGGGCATCCGACATCATTATTGGGATAGGGAGGTTCTCAGGGCTTCAGCCCCGCGGGTCTGCTGTCAGCACGACCGTATACGATCGAAGGAGTCGACTGACTAGTGAACTTTGTACCCCGGATGGCCATGAGTGCAGTGGGCGTTCCGGCATGGTAGAGCACACGGGGTCATGGCGACACTTACCCGCAGGCTAGGGCGCACCCATGGTTCCTGGGAGCGATCCTTGCATTCGCGACATAATGCGTAGTCAGCGCCTTTTCTACTCAGCTCACATACTTTCTCACTAAGATCCGCAGTAGCTTGCCAACCAGTATACTCTGTTCTTATGATGACCTCATTTTCTGAACTCTGAGCGATACCCCTCTAACCGTAAGACATAGGTGTGATTAATAATCTGCTTTGTGTGCTTCTTGCGCAGAAGACCTTCTCTACTACCCAGATTCCTAGAGATTAAAGATACTGATGGTATGATGCTCCGGCAATTCGATGACTAACGCCCTCCTGTCACGATATATAATGGATGAGACAGTAGTGTCAGCCCACCTGGAATATATTCCAGTCGGGGTAGCTCTAGACGCCTAAATCTTGTGTTTTGCACATAAATGGGGAAGTTGATTCTGCGAGCATTTGCAAAGAGCCTATTGAACATAGGCTCAGTGACCCTGATTGCGTGGAATTCTTGTCGAACGCCTCTTCTGAATCCGAGGACTTCTTTTCCAGCACAGCCTTCAGCAAACCTCTCATAATCGGCATCAGTGACCAGCGCGGGATAGCTGGCACATTCTGAAGAAATTACTTTTGCATCCGTTGCAGTAATGTGAATTTCCTTACCTTGATCGGAAAAGAACGCATGTGTGTACCCACAGAGTAGAGCGCTGAAGCAGGTCACCAACCAAAGGACCTAAACAAACACAGCATGATAGATAGCAGCCATGGTTTGTTACGATCAATCTACCTCACACTGTTGAACCTTTATTCTTCGAGATCAACCACAAACTACCCGAAACTAGAAATTTTTTCTCTGAATGAGTGCGCCTATTTGGATTCGACATAGCTCGGTATATGTGCATACCAGCTTCATGAATGTGTCGGAGAAAGACTATTATTAGAGACAAGAGGTTAGCTTTCAAGAGTGATGAATGTGCATGTAGTTGTGTGAGCTATAGCAGAAATTTCATTTATTAACTAATTTTTCGAAATTACTGCAACAATCACAGTTGAAGGAACAGTTCACGACAAAAATGGTTTCTGGAATTCCCCCACACGATGAATTTGAGGCCCCCGCGTATATCGTATCCGGCACTATTAGGTCGGAAAACTGCCTAATTAGAGAGTTATAAAGGCTCAAAGATTGGCCAGTGTGTATCCTTGGACGAGTTTCATCTGCATTGTAGAACCTCCACCAATCACAGGAGATCCCATGTAGTGAGTTCAAACAGCTTGCCATGACCCATGGCGATGGTGAAAGACAGTTCTGTACAGTTCTGGCTTGATTTAGTCAGCTCTTTGTGCAATTGCACTAACGGAAATTTCGTCTGAATACCCCTTCCATGTTATTTCCGTCATGGCGATCTCGTCCAACCTTTATTTCCTTACTTTTGAGCAGCCATATTTTTCTCGAAATCGGCCAATTCTCTTGCTTTCTTAACTACCGATGAACTATTCCCGATCTATATTTCCGCTTTTCGAATGAAAACGGGTATCTCAGAATTATCGTAAACTGTGCCATTAAGCATAAACTGCGATAGCGTCAAATTGCGAAACAAGTGCCATCGCTCTGAGAGCTTACGACTTTATGACAAATGAATTTCTTGCTCTACATGATAAAAACCATCGTTCAAGAGGTCATCAGAACAGCCTTCACACACACTTAAAATCACGGTTTCCTCTGTTGGAACGAATTCAAAAAAGGGGTTAACCGTGTGGCTTATGGGTTACTGCGTGTTGGTGCCTACGACTTACCTGCATTTTTGTTGAAGTTGAAGGTCTCTTTCACCGAGCAGATCCACTGCAGCAAATACGACCTTAAAACCATTCAATGCTGTAAGATGTGAAAAAAACAGATCTTGATTAGAATTTTAGAATGGGAAACGAAAACTTTAAAAACATATGTTTCCGCTTTCATCTAGGCCGCCCTTAAATACGAAAGAATGCGTAAAAAACTAATTTCATATCATGGGAAAATGGAAGGCTTGAAATGCACCTATCGTTGTTTTTATTTGTCATGAATCTTGAATTTCGAAAAGTAGGGCCTTTTAACTTTTATTAGCGATTCCATCAGGTTATGTATTTCTCATTTCATATTATTATATGTTCCAACAATTCGGATCACAAATCTTCTGAACGTTCAATGCTTGTGATGATTCCTGATGCTTGTGATGATGTAATGCTTGTCCAAGAAGTTTTGCCTTGGGAACTTTTCTCAAACACAAATCATTCAAGTGTGCCAGTTATAGGGAAAGCTTTTCATGCTGCCGCTTGCAAAATAAAAAGGATTATGATTTTGAAAGTTTGAAATGTCCCATAGCCGCATCGCATGACATAGCCGAACCAAAATCGGGGCTCTCGAATTGCGCCTAGTATTTTTCATCAGAGGCTCCATTTAGTTTCTGTGGCTAACGACGATCACCAACACAACGGGTGCACGACAGGGAGAAAGTCCGTCGTGCGCGTCCGTCGGAAATAGGTCACCCCGCCCACTCCGCGCGCCGCGCACACAACTGAGGTCTCGGGACGACATGACAGTACCGCCAAGTGTGGATGGAGCGAATGATTTGCATTTGTCCGCGTTATCTTCTCTTTGGCTGACTGCCATGGACCAAGCGCAATTTGTATGCCCCGCTGACAACTGTGACGTTTGTCAAACATCGCGGGCTGGCCCGCCGCATGCGGCGTCTGCGGCGTGACCTAGTTTCGACGGACGCGCGCAACGAAGCACACCCCACGACCAGCCAGATTGCACGACCTGCCAGGAGCTTCTCCCACTCACTTGAATCGATGTAATGAACATTCACAATAGGTGGATAATAACCAAAATCATATTCGTGTTGATCTTACATGGGAGGGAGAGTCACTGGTGAAACGCTATCCACGGGAAAGACTCAGATCAATTAACCATCGCACAGATAATGATCATTTCAGATCTTTTTTGAATCAGAGGTGTATTCCCGATAAAGCATAAAGGAATGTCTAAGGATTGCATCCCGCATTTGACTTAAATTCAGAATCGTAGTGGCGCAGTGAATGCCTATTTGGTCTACACAATGCCTTTCGGTGGCCAGCGAACATACGAGTCACTGTTTTCATCCTCTCAGAACAGTGCCCCCCACGCGGATACCCCACCTCTGCTCATACCTCCCGATCTCGGGCCAAATGAAGGGGAACAATAACACGCTTTCGGTATTGATTAATACCGTGCTTCCATAGGTATCGGAACTGTTTTTGGAAATGTTCATGGTCTCCCCATCTGATAGCAAGTTAACGATCATTGCGCTCCAGATGTGACGTGAGCCGATGGTATCATCCAATAGAAATCGCAGTCACCACTTTTCAACTTGCGTCTAAACAGGATAAGAGTTGGGAAAATGTATGGGCGCCTGCTCATGGAACCTGAAGTCCTTAGTCGAAAAGAAGTAAAGTTTTTGACGTGTAAGCAATGGAGCTTAAGGCCGAAAAGGTCCAATCTTTACATTACCGATATTTAGTGCAAATACACTTTCCAAGACTCGCAAAAAAGAACAGATTCAACACACGCTTGGATAGCAATGCTAGCAATTATCCTAAGCCGTTTTTCTGGTTTTACGCCATAACTTCCTCTCCTGCACGTGTCTAATTGAAAGCCCCCACTATGACAACTCCTGTGCAACGCTATTTTGGGGTGTGGCGCAGCAGGAACGAAATTGTCGCGCTGCGGCGAGATACGTCGCGCGTGAAGGAATGTAGCAGGATGCAGCAGCAAGTAAGAAATACAGGAACAAAATAACTAACAGTAAAATCATGCCAAAAGTATTAATCGCATAGCGACTGAGCTGTATGCAGAACACAAAAACAGTTATTATGAGGCAAATGATCCGCGACAGCCTCGTGCGGCGGATCGATTACGTAAAGCCGTTCCTACTGCCCGTCTCCCGCTATTTTCCCTTCCTTGTTGGTGTCTGGAACATGTGTTATGGTGAACCCTCTCACTGGAGGTGTCCCTGGTCCACATAATGTCATCAGCGAACTCCAGTACGGCTGGAGCTGGTTTCTAATGTTCAACGAAGAGGTGAAGGAAAGGAAAGCCCGGCAGCCTCTTCCACCTTTTTGACAGGAGCAGGCAAATCCTTCTGCACTCACATGACAAACCCTTCGAACCTTCTACTTGCTTCTTCTATTCTCTTAAGTTACCACTCTTCTTTTCTATCTGTTGTGCTCTTTTCCTCCTTCCGCGATCCGTCTATCTCATTCTTTTGATTTTTTAGACCAATGCCATTTAGTTTCTGCTTCTGTTTCTGTGTCTCACCTTTGGGTATATTCGAAAGAATTCACAATTAATTTGTAGATCTGCAGCTTGCGATGTGGAATGCCATGTCGATCAAAAATTGGCGAACTCATAACCAACTCGGCTTCTGTTTCCCTTACAAGATAATATGTGGAACACAGTTCAATTAAACACGACCTCCTAATAGTATTTCACTATTAGATTTGTTCGTCCATCCACTGTTTATCGAATTTTTTTTGTTTATACTAAGGTCTGAAGGTTGTTTGCTTGCCCATAGCAACTTTTCCAATCGGACTTTTCTTCATAACTTCCGCACTTTGGCACAGAAGTCCCTTGGATTGCGCCCTCCTTTGGCTCGTAGAGTTTTAACCTCTCCGTAGTTCTCCTCTCATATTACAGGATCTACCTGGAACGGTAAAAATGAATACAGTCACCTAACATGAGGTGTTCGATAAATGACTACGAGCAGCAGATCATAACCAAGGAGGCCGAAAAGTCATGAGAGAAGCTTTAAAACGTTGTGTGTTTATTTAAAGGGGAAATGATGGTGCTGAATATGCTTACAAGATCGAGCTTGTCTAACCTACTTCTGAATCTCTTCGTTTATTTCTTCATTGGCCCAAATACACCCATGGGTATGCCCCATAATACATACGCGGAATTTCCGCAAGTTGATTATCTCCTGAAGGAGACGGAAAGGTCCAAAAAGAAGTAAGGAAGAAGATTCAAATTGAAGCTCAAAATGACAAAGACTAATCAGAATAAAAGGAGAAAAAGGCAAGGGGTTCGCATGAAGGAGCCATCATACAGGGACCTTTCCTGGCTGTACAGAAGGGCTGCCTTCTTCCGTCACGAATATAACAGACCCCTTAACGAAATCCTGGTTCGGAGTTAAAAATACCTGAATAGGTGACAGTGTTGGGCTTACCACATAAAAAAAATGGATCCCAAGCAAGCGGGTATGGGCACATTCACCCAGAACCGGATGGACGCGGCAAACCGCGTGGCGGAATTCGTGGCGATTTAATCGACTTTAGCGCCTATCATTGGGGCCCAAGTTTGAAGTAGAGTCCATTAGTACGATTATCTGACCATACCAATGTACTCTACTTCAAGTTTGCGCCCCAGTGATTGGTGCCAAAGTCGTCCTAAACGCCACGAATCTCGCC